CATATGTGCGCATAGAGTAATAAATATGTGATGATTATTCGGTTAGCATGTGAATTTTAAATCGGCCCAAAGGTGGATTTACTATTTCATATGTTCTTATCATCAATATTTAATTACTGTGTCATAAGACATCACTTACAAGTTAATATTTTGTCCAAAGATAAAATATTAATGGAGTGCAAGGTGTCTTGAGATGGAGTAAACCTTTATTGAAAATTATTATTGTAATTATCTCTTAAGGATAATTAATCACTTATTTGTAATTCTGTGATTATGAGAGAATTTTCCAGTATTTTAATTAAATTAATTTTAGTAGTATGTTGCCAAAGTAACCTCTACTTGCGAAAAATTATTTAACTTAGATTACATGGATGTACGTGTAAGGTTATTTTATGTGGGTAGTGCTCGACCCAAAGAACGATATTATTTGACCAAAATAATCAAGCACATTAATGATAAATACGTGATAATTATAAAGTTGTTGTTCATGTGAATAACAGTCGGTCAAAAGATAGACTGTTGTTTGACAGAACTTATTATCAGTAATTGATCATTGTATTAAGAGTACCGCTCGCAGTTAATTTCTCTGTTCAAAGACTAAGAATTAATATTGCATTTGGTATCTTATGATGGGTCCCCGAAATTCTATTCGCTATTATTAAATCTCATTGAGATTTTCCCAAGTAGAATATAAATTGTTCCACATAAAAGCGCAAGATCAATGCCTATATATTGAGAATAATTGTCTTGAATTTACTTTAAATATTTCTGTCGAAATTAAAGTTAACTCTTCTGTTAAATGGGATGAATCTAAAGAATTTAAAGTAAATTCAAGACAATTATTCTCGATATATAGGCATTTATCTTGCGCTTTTATGTGGAACAATCCATATTCTACTTGGGAAAATCTCAATGAGATTTAATAATAGCGAATAGAGATATATCCAATTCAGTGTGTATGATGATCATTAAGCGCTCTATTCGATGAATAATTATGGGGCTATTATACTGAGATGCCTCTGAGGTTCATTGATGTAATAATACAATATTTTGCCAAAACATAAAAGGATCTGGGGTAAGCTGCCTATTAGAGCAATTTAATCCATAAAGTGTAAAGGCAAAATGTACAAGTGTATTATATTTTGGAGGTGTCTTATTTTGCATTAAAATCAAGTGACTAAAGTTGGAGTTGTCAAAAGACATACTCAACACTTAGTTTAATTTACCTTCCTCCATGAAGTTTTAGGTGAGACTGAACTCAATTACTAAACCTCAAATTCTCAGTAAAGGAACAAATAGAGAGTTAAGGATGTTATAGTTTTGTTGAACTTTTAAGGACATTGTGAGGATTATTTCTACTTACTAGACTCCATTTGGATAAAAGCCATAAGGGTTACAACGTACATCCTTAAATTGAGTATCCAGAAGGTAGTTAATGTAACCAATATGTGCAATAAGGACATTGCACATTTAGGGTTGTCCAACTTAGGAAATACCTTGTAAGGTACAAGAATGTATAATGGACAAAAGAATTAACTTATACTTTGTTGGCTACTCAAAAGTACTCTCGAGACTACAAGTTTTATAATCCCACTTGAAGAAGTTTTTAAATGAGAAATGTGAGATTTCTTGAGTATGTTGAGCTTTGGGGGATGAAACATAAGGAATATAGTTACTGCACAAACTCAACACACTCAATAAGTGTCATTAAGTATATCAACAAATTAGAAGATGGACGATTCTAGCTAACAATATTGTTGTTCTTCAAAGAATATATACATGACATTAGGTTGACTAATGATACAATTTTTAGTCAAGTAATGAACAGTTATGAAAAGTGGATTGATGCCATGTGGTGAAGTCAATGAGATATATGAGGCATGCTGGTCTCTAAGGCTTTACTAATAAGGAAAGCGTTGACTCAAAGAGACTTTCTCTCTAGTAAATTTGAGAGACTCTTTTAGGAATATAATGGCAATGGAGGCTCATATAAGCATCTCATTATTGATATCACAATGATTTTCATGTTATTAACTCATTCAGATTTAGAGATTAATGTTGGAGATGATTGTGTATATCTTAAGTTCAGTGGGAGTAAATTCATTTTCCTGTTGTATACATCATGGTTGTTCTACTTAAGGTGCAAGTAGAATAAGTTAGTAAATCAGGAGATGTGTTGTAGCTAAGGGAAACAGTTTTGGTCTCAATCAGTGCCCCAATTATATATAAGAAATTAAGATACAAATCTCTTGAATGCATATTTGCATTAAAGATCTAATGTATACTTTAGTTTATTCTCATCTCAATAAAGCATTTCTAGTAAAGAGTTTTTTGGCAGATATTTGATTGATCTATGCATGAAACACTAGAAGGATTCAAACGTGTAACACGTTTACTAAAGTTAATAAAAGAATTCATGCAAATTTGTTAGAGATCAGATAATTTAGAGATCATCAAGTACTCTAACTCTGATGTCAAGGTAGCATAAACTCTACATCAGGTTACCCTTCAGTGTTGGGTAGAGTTCAAAGCATATCTTGAGACTTCCAATTATGGTTGCAAATTTTTTGCCATTAGAATGACTTTTGTAAGTCATTAAAGGTCAACCGGACAATAATTTGATAGTGATACACTATCATTACCATGGATTTCAGAAGTCAAATATATTGACATCAAGCTTCTGGTGGTTAAATATAAAGTTCAAAATAGACAAGTTTCTATTGAACATTAAGGAAATGACTAATGCTAGCTTATCCATTAGCCAATGGTTTGACGCTTAAAGTTTTTTCATGAGCATATTGCTTGCATGAGTGTTATTCCGGATGGTACCTTGGTTTAGTGGGAGTCATTTAAGTAGTTCAATAGATTATGACTAAATCAATTCTGCAGAATAAAGTGATGGTTTTCTAGAGTCTATTTTGGAATTTAAAGTCCCTTCAGTTATACAGTGGTCACATTGTGTGAAGGAATTTCAGTTGATCTCAATAAGGACTAAAGTTGGACTAGTTGAAAATAGGCATGTTAAAGATCACATTGCATGTAATTATCATGCCACTCATCCATATTTGATCTATGTCGTTGAGTGTATTGGTGTGGTGATCATGGTGGTTTAGTCATTATTATATCGTGATTAAAGCTGTGTTGGTTCCATAATTAATACATGAGGTGGACCAGATTGTTTTAGGAGATGTCTAAGCACAAATAGCATACTTTTGCGCGCCTAAAGAATTATGTGATATAATTGTTCTAAGAAAAATATGCAGTCCAAGTGGGAGATTGTTAGGAAATTCTATTTCCTATAATGATATGAGCCACATATTTTGACAATTATATGAGCTATTTACTTATGTGGGCTAACTGAAAGTGATCCAATTAAGAGCCCAAAAACTTCTTGCATTGATATGGGCCTAAATGGGTGGACCCAATACTTGTTCACCTTGGGTTTTATGGGAGCCCATGTGAAACTTGTATATAAAGGTGCTAGAGGTTGTCGTCCCCAAGACACCAAGAGCAAAAACAATCTCATCTTCTCCCCATCAGGAAGATGAGAGCTCTCCCGTAGAGGAACTGAGGCGACTTGGTTGAGGAAGACTGCGTAACCTCCCGAGTCGTGCACTAAAAGGCATCGTCAGGAGATTGATCGTCACCGTTTCCGCATCCAGCTTCTGACAATCTACATGAATCCATGTATCTCCAACCAACCTTTGATAATCTAGCAATGTGATATCCGGGGAATTACTTGTGCAAATTCTGTTATATTTTAACATAGCTCTGTTTTTCCTTATTTGTTTAGGGTTTGTTATGGGGATAGGGTGTTTCATTATCTATATGAAACGGAAGCAATCAATGGCGTGAAAAAAGAAAACGGGCAATCGAAGCTCTTGAAAATTAAACGAACAATCATGATGAGATTCTTCTTGGACTCCATGATCACAGTAGGGCTGCAGAAATTCTGGTGTTTGGTCTCTGGTCTCTGCCTCCTACTCCGCTTGATCCATCCGAGTTGGTGGAGTTTGATCCAGCGCCAGGCGGGGAACACGATCCATCGGAGCTGGGAATATCCTTCCCAAGCAGCGCATTTCCAGGCTTGGTTAGGACTTTACCGGAGAGGTTGTTGTTAGAGACGCCAAGAATTAAAGGAATAGTATCCGCGGGGGAGAGGAACATCGACGGTCTAGTGGTGAAAAATAACAATTAAAGGAATTATGATTTTTTATAATTTTTTTATAATAATTAGGTGAAAAATAAAAAATAAATAGAATTTTTATTTTATTTTTTTAATTGTCACATCACTCATTTAACGGTCAACTATAAGAGTTGATCGCCACATCAGGAAAAGTTAACGGAGACTAACGATCAGTGACCAAATTTGAACTGTTAACCTAATTTAAATGACTACGGACGAAATAAACTAATTTCAGTGACAAACGTGAACATTTTTGTGCTCCTTCCTTGATCGCACCATATGATATCATTAGTGAATAACAAATGAGTAACTTCATTTGGCCGTCTTCTTCCATACAGAACCCATGGAAACCTCCTCCTTCTTGCTTCATTGAGCTTTGGATGTCGTGGTGAAATTCTCGTCATCAACCTCCTCCTGTCATTGTGTCCTTTCCAAAGAGGTGCAAAAAATCATCACATGTGATACAATGTAGACAAAAGAGAAAAAGGCTGGATATCATTTTCTTTTTATATATGAACAACCAACGCCAATTCGCCAAACAAGGTAAAAAGGATGATGAGGATAGATAGTAGATTTGGATCCTTCTCTTCTTTTTGCAGAACAAAAGACAGACATAAGATATTTGTAATCATAATACTCGCGCTGTAATGGGCCTCCATAGTCCATACCCTGGACTCAAATTGGCGGGAGCCCAACACTTTCCAACGGCAGGAACATCTCCTATACACGCGCCGTTTGAGCCGCGTGACGCAGCTGATTTGTTATTTTCAAACGATAAAGAGAGTACAGAAACGAACAGTACAGTCCCCCGTCCGTTCTCTTGCGGAAGCTGCAGCAACACTTTCCGCTTTGCTTACATGGCCGCTCCCCGCCCCACAGATTATAGCCCCCCCTCTCGCCTCTCGGCTTCTTCTTTCTTCTCCTTACCACCGCCGTCCACAGTCCAGAACGGAAACACAATCTAGAGATTAGAGCACAGTACGAAACGAAAGGGTTCGCCTCTGATTCTGATTCTGAATCTTGAATTGATGTTGCTTTTCGCCGTCGCAATGCCGGGCCCGGCGTGGACGGCCGCCGTCAACAGCAGGAGAACCACCACCACGACCCATTTTCGTCCTCGTTTCTCCGTCTCCTCGGTGGCGGACGGTTTGGGTTTCCCTTCTTTTCTGCCGAAAGAAGTTGAGGGTATCAAAGACCCATATGCGCGGAAGCTCGCTTCCAGAATCCAGCGGCTCCCAGTTACTGTAATTTCTTCGTTCCCTGCTCTAGGGTACCATTTTTTCGTTGATTTGCAGATTGTTTAGCTTCTGGGTTGATGACATTGCAGGTTGGGTCTTCGGGGGATTGTATAATGAGCAGTTGTGTGATGCCATTGTCGTCGACTCAGAGCAGGGCTACTACTAGCCCGATGGTTCTCCTCCATGGATTTGACAGGTTCCTTTTTCTTGTTAAGTAGAACCCAATTGATTATGAAAAAAAAAAAAAAAAAAGAAGAATCAAAGAGATTGTGTGTTTCTGATTAATGTGTCGTCTATAGAATAGAGTGGTCATAAAATTCAATAATTCAGTTCATGCTTAGAATGGAGATACGCATTGCCACAGCTTGAGGAAGCTGGATTGGAGGCTTGGGCTGTTGATGTTCTTGGTTGGGGTTTCTCAGATTTAGGTTTGTTCTGTATTTCATCGATTCTGCTCTGCATGGGCTCAACTTTTAATGTTGGTGAACAACAGCTTACTACCTTGTTTGTTTTTCTCCTTTTTGCTTCCATTTTTGGCACTTTGATGGAATTCCTAGAAAAACTTCCACCATGTAATGTTCAAACAAAGAGGGAACATCTGCATCAGGTACTTGCTAGATCTGGCAAAAAATGTTTGATTGAGGAATAATTTAATTTGCCTAAGGTGCATGCTTATCCTCATCCAATTATGTATGTTTAACTATATATCAAAATGTGTAAAGCTAATTTGTCATTCATTTTTACCAACTAACCTCAGCTTTGGAAGACCTACATTAGAAGGCCTATCATTTTGGTCGGGCCAAGCCTCGGTGCTGCCATTGCGATTGACTTTGCTGTCCAGTATCCTGAAGCTGTAAGCACATCTATCTAACATATTTCTTAATTCAAGCTTCATTTTTCCTTTGTGTAGCTTAAGTTATTGTACATCAGTATATCCAGAAGACTGCTATAGGTTTGCAAGAAGTGAACTGTTGCTGCATCCATGCAATGCAGCAACAGTGCCTAAGATGAAAACACTCTCGCTTATTTTCTACAGGTGGAAAAGTTGGTTTTGATTGATGCAAGTGTGTATGCTGAAGGGACAGGCGGCATGGCGACACTACCCAGGACAGTAGCATATGCAGGGGTATAACTGTCACTCTCAAGCTTATTGAATCTATGAGAAGTATAAGAAGCCAAATGTCTTCTGCTATCCACTTCCTTAATCATCCTCTCTAGCTTGTTTAACGTTAAGAACTCATTCTGAATCAGGTGTATCTATTGAAGAGTGCGCTGCTCCGTTTGTTTTTCAATGCCCTCACCTTTGACTGGTTACCGTTGAGTACTAGCATAGATTGGATGAATGTGAGCCTCACTTCCCGTATGAACATTGTTTTCTGGAGTAAGAGACATTCAGAAGAGCAGTGAAAATAAAATTTTTGCCTTCTGCTTGTTTTTTCTTTTCTTTTCTTTCTTTCTCTCTCAGATCGGCCGTTTGCATTGCACGTATCACTGGTGGGCTGATGCAACTGTGAACTTCATGAGAAGTGGTGGCTATGATGTCGCCCGTCTTATACCAAAGGTATTTTGTTCAGCACCTAGGTGGTATATTAGTACGTCCCCTTTCTAAAATGTTATGGAGTTACTGAAAACCATTCTGCTTGTATCATTTCTTCCTGTGAAAACTTCAAATAGGAATTATGTCAAGCTCAGTCCTATCCTTAAAAAGAGCCTCTGAAAAATCTTCTGTCCTTTCGCCTATAGATGCTTCATGGTTCTAGTATTCCTCGAAACTGATTGTTGCCCCGTGTCTTGAATTTATGGTATATTTCAGATCAATCAGAAGACACTGATCATTTGGGGGGAAGATGATAAGATCATCAGCAGCAAATTAGGAGTGGTTAGTGCTAGCTGACGCTTACTTTATATTTTCAACATTTCAACAATTACTCGACCCACTACATTCTTCAGAAAAGCTGCTCCTCTGATTCTATTTAGATTATATGATTTGCAGAGATTACACTGTGAGCTACCAAATGCAATCATACGACAAATACCGAATTGCGGCCACATCCCTCACGTGGAGAAACCCAGCTCTGTTGCCAAACTGATCAAGGAGTTTGTCCAGGACCAGGAAGATCGTTCTAGAAAGGAGGATCAGCTTGTTGGAACTCCAGTGTCTTAACTTGAGCATAGCTCAGCTGCAGAATTAGTTAGTTGCGACGTGGATGTTTGGTCATGTAACTGCTGAGAACTCGACCAGTGTTCAGGTTGATATGCTGCATAACGGAATTAGGAACTCCCGTAATCTCTAGGAGCTTAAACTTGGTAGGAAAGTTGATATGTGACATGTGCTGGTTGGTCTGCTTTATTTTTGGGTAGAATGCTGGTTGGTCTGCTCGTAATGGAATTGGAAGTATCAGTAGTGATAATGATCAAGGTTGTCAACCCGCAGGTTGACTCGGACCCGGTCGAGCTGATGGGTCAAGGGTTAATGGGTCACCCGGTTTAGTCTGGAAATATGGAAATAGTTATTATATTGTATTTATCCAGTCTTTAGCTATCAATATGTACGTTGTGATTTATTCATGATCTTTTTTTTTTGTCAAAAGATATCATATATTAATCCAAGATAAATAGATAGTTACATCCTGAAAATCAGCCAGGCCCGAAAATCAAAGAAACGACTTATAGTCGAATACAAAGAGAGGGCTTTCCTAGCTACCGAATGAGCTACCCTATTGTTCCCCCGACCTATAAATCGCACACTAAACCCAGGATGGACGCGAAAATAATGAACTATCTCTTCCAGGACAGCACCCAACCGGTTATCTCTTATGTCGCCTTGATTAATTTTATCAATAATGACCTTCGCATCGCCCTCGAACCGGACCCCAGACAAGCCACACTCCAAACACCATATAATCGCCTCCCGAAGCACAAGCAACTCCACCACTGCAGCCTCATCCATTTGAGGAAACTGAACCCCTCTTGCCAAGAGAAGTGTCCGCGCCGGGTCAAAAAAGACCATCCTAACAGCCGAATGCGACCCACTCCTTGTAGCCCCATCCCACATGCAAACCAACCGTGGATCACCCACTTGAGTCACGGACGGAATCGCTTGCCTAGGCACCCTAGGAATCTGGTCCGATGGCAAGCCCACCCATTCCTCATATTGTTGGTGAAATTGACGCATGAGCGCAGGGATCTCAAACTGTTAGCCTTCAAAGCAACTCAATTACGAGACCGCCAGATTCGCCAAAGGATGGCAACAACAGCCATAAACAATGATGGTTGATGGATCAGCGCCAACAGCCGTTTGAGAAATAAAGGAAAGGTATGTCGAGCCAAACCCTCCCCCAAGTATTCCAGCCCTGAGTAGTCCCAGAGAGCCCGCACAACCAGACAATAAAGGAACAGATGTTCCATCGTCTCTGGGCTATCCCAGCAAACTGGACACCGGGGAAGCACAAGAACCTTCTTCTCAATAAGCACCTCCGTAGTTGGTAGAGCCCGATTAAGAATTTGCCAGACAAACTTCAGCTTCGGAGGAATCTTAGCTTCCCACACCCTGATCCAACTAGGCTTATCCATCCAACTAACCGAGGACCGCCAGCCACCCCTCCTCCTATCCAAGTCAACAACCAAATGGTAAGCCGAATTTACCAGGAAAACCCCATATGTCGTATTATGCCAGATAAGCTTATCATCCACATTCTGCCGCAAAAGTGGAATAGCCTTAATGGCGTTGCATGTAGGCGGGTCAAACCATTGACTAAGCCTGTCATCAGACCACTGCCCTTCCCCTTCACGAATAACCTCCGCCACCAAGGATCACCCCCCTCCGGCAAGATCAGCGGATTATAACAGGGGGGATCGAGCTGGGACCCAGGAATACAGTTAGAGTCGAGAAGAGAGGCCGACTGGCCATTGCCAATCTGCCACCTTAAACCCATAACCTGGCGGGAAGTACTTCCCTTTATAGACCTAGGCAAGGAGGGAATGAGGTTCATTGAGTATACGCCAGCCAATCTTTGCTAAAAGAGCTTGGTTAAAATGTTCAAACTGGCGAAATCCCATCCCCCCTTCATGCTTACTCCTGCACATATTACGCCAGGACACCCATCTAACCTTGGGATGCCCCTCTTCAGCACCCCACCAGAAACGGGCCACATGTCTATCTAAAAGACGATAAAGAGATAGAGGAAGCCGGAAGCAGGGCATGACATGTAGGAGTAGGGCCAACGTTATGGATTTAATCAACGTTTCCTTAGCCGCCCAAGACAGCGTCCGTTGCTTCCACCCCTGAAGTAGCTCTTGGAGCTTCTCCTCCAAATATCTGAATGTATCCATTTTGGATCTGACAACCAGCGTGGGTAACCCCAGATATTTATCATGGACCCCCACTGCACCAACCCCTAGGATTGTGGCCAAGAACTCCTGATCTGGCAGGGCAATATTTTTGCTAAAACACACCGCAGATTTCTCTAGATTAACCCGTTGGCCACTCAACTCCTCATATTCATTCAGGACTTCAATTAAATTCTCTCACTCCTAGAGAGAACCTCTCAAGAATAAATAAGAATCATCAACGAAGAACAAATGAGAGATTCTTGGAGCACGAGGAGCCACTTTGACCCCTTCCAGTTTCTTTTCCGAGATCGCTTTCCGGAGAAGAGCCGCAAACCCCTCTGTGCATAGCACAAACAAAAGAGGCGATAACGAATCCCCCTGTCGGAGCCCCCTGGAGGAAGTGAAATAACCCGAGGGTGAACCATTCATTAGGACCGAGAAAGATGAGGACCGGAGACATTCATATATCCATCCTTGCCAGACAGAGTTAAAACCCATTTTATCCAAAACCGTGAGAAGGAAAGGCCATTCAACTCTATCATAGGCCTTTTCCATGTCAACCTTTAGAGCCATGTACCCCTTCTTCCCCTATTTTTTTATTTTCAGGTAATGCATTAACTCATGTCCTAGCAGGATGTTATCAAGAATTTGTCGGTCTCTTATAAACGCATTCTGACCCTCAGAGATGACCTGGGGAGCAGACCCGCAAGCCGCTCAGCCATGATTTTGGTTATCACTTTATAAACAAACTAGCATAAACTGATCGGGCGCAATTGTCTGATTGTTTCCACATAATCTACCTTCGGAATCAAGGTGAGCCAGGTATGATTAAAGCTTCACAACATCCGGCTTGTTGTAAAGAAGGAACATACTACCTCAGTCATTGATGTGCCCACTATATCCCGAACGCTTTGAAGAACTTTCCTGTGAAGCCATCAGACCCCGGTGCCTTCTTTGACCCCATGGAAAAAACTGTTCTCCTAACCTCATTAGGCAAAACCTCAGCCGTCAATTGTGCATTCATCTGCGGAGTAACACTACGAACAACAGAGGAATCTAGGTTTCCGAGGTGATCAGAGTCCGGTAGAAGTCAGTAGCAATAGTCGCCTTCCCACTCTCCTCCGTGACCCACTCCCCCTTATCATTTCGCAGCCCCGAAAAAAAATTCCGTTTCCGACGGGTGCGTGTGACAGTATGGAAATATGTAGAATTTTGGTCACCTTTTTTTAACCAGCGAACCCTGGATTTTTGCTGCCAGTATATCTCTTCCGCTTCCCACTGGCGAGACAGCTCAGTTTCCAAGGATCTAATCACATCCCAATCCACCGGATGGGTCGATTTAATCTGATCAATCTCCACCTGGAGAGTCCTAATATTCCTCAAGGAATTCGTAGTGCCTGCCCTGCTCCAATCATAAAGCAGATGTCGAAGTTTCTTTAGGCGTTCCTAGAGTCGAAACATAGGGGTACCTTGGATCTCTTCCTGCCAAACATATTGGACCATAGCTTTGAACTCTGGATTGTCCGCCCAGCGGGCATCAAACTGGAACAGGGGTCGATTACTACGAGCATATGGTTTATCCACTAGAAGAAGGGCACGATGATCCGATCCTTGGTCCGTAAAATGTTTGACCAGTGTCTCCGGATAAGTATCAATCCAGGACTGGGAACAAAGCGCCCTATCCAGACGTTCACGAATGATGCTGAACCCATACGTTTGTTCGTCCAAGTAAATTGATCCCCTTGGAAACCCGGGTCATGAAGACCCAAATCATGAACAAACTCGCGGAGGTTAACAGCCTGAGAAGCATTCCACGCCCTACCCCCATCTTTCTCACCCTCGTGGAGAGTAGTATTGAAATCTTCTATGATTACATAAGGTAGGTTGATATTCGCACAAACTTCGCGCAGATGAGGCAGTTGATTAGCTCGAACAGCAATGTTACAACTAATGTAAACAAAGAACACCACATAAGAAAATCCTTCTTCATTAATTTGCGAACAAATATAGAAATTGGAATGAAACAACACCGAAGTGTCAACTCCGGGGGACCAAGCCACTACTAAACCACCTGATGCATCGACTACATCTACAAAGAAACAATGAGAAATAGCAAATCCTAAACCCCGCATACGACGGGAGACTACACGCCGGCTCGATCACGTCTCCTAGAAAAACACAAAATCCGGTTTATTTGAATAAACAAGACCTACAGCAGTTTGGAAATTGAGGGATGACCCAATTCCTCTCACATTCCAGACAAGAAGCCTCATTTATCTGATTGGGGCCATTTATGGCTGGCTTCCTCCACCTGGTCTAGATTCTCAGCAATTTCCACAAATTGTTTTTTCGGCGTGGGTACGCCACCCATATCTCCTTCCACTGCACCCAATGGGCGTTTGCGCGTCCCAATATTTGGGTTCAATAGGTTCGACCCATATTCGTCCAGCTGCGAGTTATCCGCCTGGAACTTCTCCGGGTTACTCCGTCCTGGATCATATTCCACCTCATGATCCTGCGTTGGAGGCTACGCATCTCGAGTAATGGCCAGCCCAGCCTCGAATGCAGCAACAACTTGGCTCACACGCCCCCTAGGTGTAGCCACACTCGGTTCTTTTGGCATAGAAGAAGGAGGTCTCCTTTTGATTTCAAAGCATTGGACTTCTTCTTCCGAATCTGATTCAGCCGAGACAAGGGCCTGCACCATCTCTTTAATGGGGACAGGATAATGGGCCGGCCCATCTGAGCCACCAACTCGATCCAGGCCCTCCTCCCAATCTGGGTCGCGTTCAGGTGGGGAAGAGTCACCCTTCGGTGGCCTGGCCTTATGCAGCCTACCCTTTGTCACATTATGAGCCGAATTAGCTACAGGGCGAGAAGACCCAGTACCCATCTTGGAAGCCCATCCAAAAACAGGGCAAGTGCCCCGGCCCGACTTCTGGGTACTCTCGGCCTTATGCGATCCGTCGTCATGACTGCCACCTACTTGAGCAGAGCCCTTCATAACTTTCCCAGGAGCCTCTGTGACGAGCGGCTGGTCGAGATCCAAAGCATCATCATCGGATTTCGTCTCCACGATGAGACGACATCGTCGAGTATGTGCAAAAATACCAGCAGATTGGTCTTCCAGCTCTCGAGAGATTGAGGTAGCAGTAGGATAGTCCTTACGTTCACGATCTATCTTCGTCACCAGGCCCTGTGCATTACGATCCTTCTCCGTTCCTCGCAGGCCATAACGTTTTGGGCGATCTCCCCCAAACTAGATTTTGTGTGGTTTGTTGATGGAGAATCCCCGAGGA